CCCGGGTTAAAATTCAAGTGACTCCGTCATACCTCTGCCCCAGCAGAGAAGGAGGCGGGTTAAAATTCAAGGGCTCCTTCTGCCCTGTCCTTCACAGGTGGCTCAGTAGAAATGGACAAAGCAGAGCTGGTGTAGGAGCTGCCCAGGAGAACACCCTTGGGCAGGTGGGAAGGGGGCAAGAGGGGCTCTCTAGACCCACTCAAGCCACCGTGTGTCTACTCTTGCCCCTGTGTGTCTCCGGGAAAGCCAGTTTCCCTCTCTGGGCTTCCTCCATCTCCCCCCACCCCCCGCCCCCGTCAATAAGAGCAGATCATCCAGGTTGCCCTTGAGGGGCGAGTCCCAGGTCTGCAAAGTGGGAGCAGCAGCCTCGACCCCTCATGGGGTAGAGGGTTACACGTCCGCACGAGCCCCTAGGACCCTGCCTGGTGTCCATGAGAGGTGGCTTTGTCGTGACAATGACTACCCTTTTAGGCTCTGCGTGGTGAGGTGCTGCCCTGCTCCCCGGCAACCTGAGCCTCGGCCACGTGCAAACTCAGCCTCTCTCCAAGGCAGCCCACGGGGCCGGACGGGCCGTTCTTCCCTCACTCCTGATTTAAAAAAAAAGAAAGATGCGATCCCTCGTTATGAAGTCTCTGAGGGAGAGCTCTGGCGACCACGGGGGGGGGGGGGGGGGGGGGCGGCGGGGGGGGGGCGGGGGGGGGGGGCAGGGCAGGAGACGCTCCAAACCTGGGGTCCAAGGACTCAGCAGGGTTCCAAGGCCACCTCCTCTGCCCGCTCAGGTGTGACTGAGCACTTTGCCTGCCTGAAGGGGGCGGCTGGCCCTGTCACCCTGTGAGGTCCCACCTGGCTGTAAGACATGGGGTGAAAATGCTTCTTTTGGATAGAGATTTGAGTGTTCCCCCCAAACCCATGTCAAAAACTGAATCCCCAAGGCACCAGTGTTAGGAGGCAGGACCCCCAAAGCTAACTGAGCTATCGGGGATGGATGCCATCACCATGGGGGCGGTGTCACCACTAGAATGGGCTCATTGTCACTGAGGGGTTCACTACCATGGGGCACGTTCCTGAGAAGAGGACTAGTTTGGAACCCTCATGCCCTCCCACCTTCTGCTATGGGGTGACACAGCATGAGGCTCTTGTTACATGCCCTTGACCTTGGACTTAGCTTCTAGAACTGAAAGGAATTAAACTCTGCTCTTTACAAATAGCCCGACCTCAGGCATTCTGTTACAGCAGCACCGTCACAAAGACAAGGACCGAAAACTAGCTTTGGGGGTGAAGTCCTAGAGCAGCACAGGAAGATCGGAGCCCAGCGGGTCTGAGTGGGCCTGAAACCGCGTATTTCCGCCTCAGCTCCGGGTGCTGAAGCTGCTGGTCCGTGGACCACGCTGGAAGGAGCAAGGGTTTAGGGGTGTTTTTTCTTTTTCTTTTTTTTTTTTATCATCTCTAGGATAGATAAAGAACTCAAAAACCTTAACACTAAAAAACCAAATAACCCAATCAACAAATGGGCCAAGGAACTGAACAGACACTTCTCAGAAGGTGATATACAATCAATCAACAAATATATGAAAAAATGTTCAACCTCTCTAGCAACTAGAGAAATGCAAATCAAAACTACCCTGAGATCTCATCTCACTCCAGTCAGAAAGGCAGTTATCAAGAATACAGACAATAATAACTGTTGGCGAGGATGTGGGGAAAAAGCCCACTCAGACACTGCGGGTAGGACTGCAAACTGGTGCAGCCAACCTGGAAAGCAGTATGGAGACTCCTTGGAAAACTGAGAATGCAACTACCCTTTGACCCAGCTGTCCCACTCCGCCACCTATACCCAAAGGACTTAAAAACAGCATATTACAGTGCTGAGAGCCATAGCCAAGTAGGAATGACGCATGGCAATTTCCTTGTCAGCCTACCCAATGTTGCTTAGAGGGAGAACTCTCCATTGTGGAAATGGGCTTGCCTTGGACCCAGTCATTTGCAGTGACATTGCATGAGAAAGGTGACCCTGCTCCGGGTTTAGGGTGGATCCTGCTGGGAATAGGGTGTATCCTGCTGCCTCAGGCGCCCGCTCTTGGAGTTCCCGTGGGATTCGGAGGGTATTTGGTACGCAGAGCCCGGTGGAGGGTGGATTTTCCCAGAACGTGCGTGTAGAGTGCCGGTGACAGTTCGGGAATAAAGAGCTGCTGTTTGAATCTACAAGGCTTTTGTGGTGGCTCGGTTATTTTGTGCCCAGCCAGACTGCGGCATTTGGTGGCCTGTACGGGGAGTTAGAGTCTGTAAACAAGTCAGGATGGCGCCTGGCAAAATGCCAGAGGGAGTGGTTTGTGAAGTAACGCCAGCGAGCCATTAAGTGTGGAGATTCCTTATTGGTTGACTGCTGTATCTAGTTTATGTTGATTAAGATAAGCTGTGTGGAATGTATATATACCCCTCCGGTCCTACAATAAATGGCTCCCACTCCTGCTGTATCAATCTACACAAGTTCTTCGTCACCACCCCCCCCTGTTATTTTGCTGCAGCCGGACTGCGGCACTACAGGGACACAGCCACATCAATGTTTATCGCAACTCAATCCACAATAGCTAAACTGTGGAACCAACCCAGATGCCCTTCAGTAGATGAACGGATAAAGAAAATGTGGCTTATATATACACAATGGAATATTACTCAGCAATAAAAGAGAATAAAATCATGGCACTTGCAGGTAAATGGATGGAGTTGGAGAAGATAATGCTAAATGAAGTTAGCCAATCTCAAAAAACCAAATGCTGCATGATTTCTCTGATATAAGGACGCTGATTCATAGTGAGGTTGGGAGGTGGAGCATGGGAGGAAAAGACGAACTCTAGATAGGGCAAAAGGGAGGGAGAGGGAGGCCTGGGGCAAGGGGGTAAAAAAAGACAGTGGAATGAGATGGACATCACTCCCCTAAGTTCATGTGTGAAGAAGACATGGTGGTGAGAATGTACTTTGTATACGAGCAGAGCTCTATATATGTAATATGTAATGCAAATTGTAATGCGTTCTGCTGTCACAGATAACAAATTAGAATAAAAAATTACAAAAGGAGTAAAGAAAACTTATGATCTTCATCACTGAAGCCTTCAAGCCGGTGACCTACCTGCCACCTGGCGGTGACTGCACTACACAGAGGTTAGTTGGAAAGCAACGTGAGAACACAGTCCGTAGGACCTGCGGGCGGCCTGAGGAAGTCCCCGCTCCCTATATTTTTAGGGTCTCTGACCCTCACTTTACAAACAAAAGGGTCATCAGAGAAGCACAGGACCCTGAGGCAGGACGCTAACACCCTTGTAGCTGGCGCCAGGCAGCGGGGACTTCAGAGCGGAGCTGCTGCTTCTGGGTCCCCCGCTCCTCGGCCCCCACACCTGGTGTCTCTGCCCCAGAAGGACCCTTGGGGGCAGCCCCTCACCGGCTCTCTGCTGCTGGCCTCAAGGAAGCCCTGCTCCTCCCCCCGGCCAGCTGCCCCAGTGCCCCCCCAGGCCCTCAGAGCTGGCCACCTGCTGCCCACCGCCCCCCCTGCAGTCCCTCCACCTGCCGCCTGCTCCCCCCCACCGCAGCCTGGGTGGGGAGCAGTGGGGAGCGGTGGGGAGCAGGCAAGGTTTCCCCATCACCTGGCGAGGCGGCGGCTGGGGACTTCCTTTCCATCCCCCGTGCCCCCTCCCTGCTGGCTACCTGAAAACCCAGAGGACTTGGAGGCCAACCTCACTTCAGGGGACAGAAGGGGCCGCACTTGCACTCACAGCAGAGCCCAGGGTGGGGGAGGGGAGCAAAGAGGACGGGGGCCATGGGGAGGGGAGGCGCTTGGCAGGCAGCCTGGGTGGCCAGGGTTGAATGGTGGCCCCCCAAAAGATAAGTCCGCATCCCAGAGCCTGTGAAGGTGACCTTGCTCGGAAACAGGGTCTTTGCAGATGTAATCAAATTAAAGATCTTGGGGTGATGTGTGTGTGGTACCGGGGATGGAACTCGGGGCACTCTGCCACGGAGCCACATCCCAGCCCTTTTAAAATTTTTATTTGGAGACAAGGTCTCACTAAGTTGTTGAGGCTGGCCTCCAACTTGTGATCCTCCTGCCTCAGTCTCTTGAGCAGCTGGGATTACAGGTGTGTGCCCTCTTGCCCAGCACAAGTGTCCTTTTAAGAGATGCAGAGAGGAGAGGAGAGGAGAAGCCACAGGAAGACGGGGCAGAGGGGCAGAGACGGGGTGAAGCAGCCTCAGGCTGAGGTACGATGCCTGGAGCTAGCGGAAGCTGAAAGAGACACAAAGGACCCTCCCCTGACTTCAAGCCACACAATCTGCCGTAACTTGCTATGCGAGCCCTGAGAAATAGCGCAGGTGGAGTCCCACAATGTCACTTCCTGAGCAACTCTGGATAAATTGCCTAACCTCTCTGAGCTCATTTATGGATGACTTTCTCATCCATAAAATGGGGCAGTAGGATCCATTTTATTAATTCCTTCAATGGACATTTACCAAGTATGAGCCACATGCCAGGTGCTGAGAGCTCAAGGTACAGAGAGCGCAACACGCTCTGGGAGCTGTCAGGAGGCGGAGGCTGAAGCCACACTGGGGGTGGTTGAGCTGCAAGGGGAGGTGGGGACAGGGACCAGGGACGAGAGCCACAGTGGAGGGCAGGTCTTCCTCCCAAGTAGTGGGGAGGCCCCGGGCAGGTGGAAGCAGGAGGCCAGCCTGGTCAGAAGGGCTGGAAGGGACGCAGGGTGGACAGCAGGCTACCAGCCAGAGTGACCAGTGAGGAGACTCCAGTGGTCACCTGGGAGGATGTGAGGTGGCTAGCACGGGGCCGGCAGGTGTCGGGAACGGGGCTGGATCTGAGTTACTCCGGGGGAACGGCCCAGGGCAGGGTGCGGCAGGGTGTGCGGCTCACCCCAGTGGCCTCCCTGAGCCGGGAGGCCTCGGGGCCGGGACTGAGGCTGCCGGTGGCCACCCACACTCACAAACTTAGCACATCCACTTACCGTCCTTGAGTGAGAAGCTCAGAAGGTCCTGGGGGAAAAGAAAGCAGGAGTCACTGACCGGCAGCTGAGCGACAGGTGTTCGTTTCATCCTGTCAAGGGGAGGACAGTGGGCAACGCCCTCGGCCCACCCCGTCCCCAGGGAGCAGAGAAGGAGGGGAGGGGCTGTTGTTACGGAGGCCTGTGGCCCCACAGCGGAGCATGTTAACAGCTTCTGCCTGTCCTGACTGCACACAGAGCAGGTGAGTGACGTGCCCAAGGGCACACAGCAGAGCTGCTGCTTCAGGAGAGAGGCAGCTCCAAGGTTCAAATCCTGGCTCAGCTACTTATGGCTGTGTGATCTTGGGCAAGTTACTTAACCTCTCTCTGTCTTGGTTTTCTTAACTGTAACCTGGGGATGGCCATACAGGTTGAGCATCCTTAATCCAAAAAAATCCAAAATCTGAAACTTTTTGAGCAACTACATGATACCACCAGGTCAGGAAACTTTGTTTCATATACTAAATTATTAAAAATGTTGTATAAAATGACCTTATGTTAGACCCGAGTCCCGTCACCACGAGATCTCATCACATGTACGCAAATATCCTAAAACCCATAAAAACCTGAAATCTGAGACAGTTCTGGTCCCAAGCATGGATGGCGGCTCCCGTATTACCATCTCGGAAAGCTGTTTGGGAATTTAGTGCCTTCGTTTCTGCAGGGGCATCAGCACCTGTTAAGTGCCACGTGAGTACAGCACCTGGGGTGGATCTTCACAGTGTGATGCAACGCTGTGACCATGGGCATCGTATTATGGGCTCCTTTATCTTGAACCACCCGCCCCACTAAGAGCGACTTTCAGACTGACGTGGAGGGGGAATACTGTTGCACTGTCCCCAGGGAGTGGCCAGGTGCCAGCCTACCTGCGTGATGGCCCCCAGGCTGCCCTGCAGGGCGGGGTCCTTCGATATACTCTGAGCGAACAGTTCTGCCCCTTCGCTCCCCAGGCCGCTGGTGAAAGCAGTCATGGTCGGCAGGACGGCTTCGGACAGCGCCAGCCACCTCACCAGGCCCGTCACAAACTCGGTGCAGAAGGAGCTGCAAGATAGGCACCCCTTAGACCCCGGGCTCGTGGGGACCGCTGGAGTAAAGAGGCCATCCCAGGGCCACCGGACTGTGAGGACAGAGCGGGGACAGGTCCTGGGTAGTCCAATGAGGGAGCCCCCAGGCCCCTGTGGAGGAGGAGCCCTCCACCAGGTGTGCTCAGGTGAGCCCCCAGCACCGGCTCTGCCTGGGGGGGAACTGTGGGCATCGGGGTGACTCGGCCCCCCAGAGACCAGTCGGTCGCCCCCCGCTTGCACCCACCCAGCCCACTCCTTGGTGCTGCTGGTCAGGAGAGTCGCCTCAGGCCAGAGCTGCGCTGGAGCGGCCAAGAGCCTGAGTTCAAATCCTGGCCTCCCCCTGCCATGGAGGGTACTAGAAGAAGCTGGTCTGAAAAGAAGACCATCAGGGCTGCCCCCGGATCAAGGCCTGGTGAGGGAGGCAGGGAGCTGGGCAGAGCTGCCATGTGTCTCCAGGGGAGACCCAGCTGACCCCCGGGGAGTTCTCAAGGTGGGACGGCCCCCAGGGGAGCACGAGGGTGGGCCTTCATATCCCGCCGTCTGCCAGTCATGGACACGGGAACCCCAGGGAGGGGGCAGGATCCTGGGCAAGGTGGCTCCCTGGGCTCTGCTGGCCACCCTTCCCTTGAGCCTGGAAGGGGAGCTGAACAGCATAGCCCCCGGGAAAGTAACTCGACCTCTCTGTGCCTCAGTGTTCTTGAAGGCACAGTGGGTTTAAGGGACCAGCTTCCTGATTGTGCTTAAGTATTAAACAAGGTGACACCCTGAGCAGGTGAGGCGGGCAGAACGCGCTCCCTCGGCTGAGCCAGCACTGACGTTTGTCACAGGGTGACCCACCAGGGAGCAGGTAGGACAGGAGAGAGTCAGACCCCAACGTCCTACCCGGGGAATCCTGGCTCCCTTGGTGACAGCCCCGTGTCCCTACTCTCGTTTTCTCCCCTCTGCTGTAAAATGCAGATGATAACAGCACCTGCCTCGGAGATAAGCCGAGGACCCGGAGCAGGGCCTGGCTCCTGCAGAGCCGCAGCCAACGGCAGCCCCGGCTGCGGTGACAGCACGGGCCCAGCCCTGCCCGCTCCCGGGATCACCCGGGTGGCTGTGGCATGTGCAGGGCTGACTTAGGGAATGACCGAGCCAGGTGAACGTTGCTTAGGGGTCAATGTATATCAGGGATGGCCCAGGCCAAGGGCAGGGGCCTGGCCTGGCCTTGTTCACAGAGAAAGTCTTGGATGAAGAGAAGCCTCTGAGAACAGGAGCAAAGGATAAAGAGCACGGATCTGGGTCCAGCCCCATCTGCCCCCGGCCGTGGTTCCTGGGTCAGTGACTCCACTGATCTGTGCCTTGGGCGCTTTTTTTTTTTTTAATTTTTAATCTGTAAAACACTGGCGATAGCGAGGAAACCTATTTCATGGGGTGGTTGGAATGATTAAGTGAGCGTTTGGCATGTGCTTAGGACAACACATGGCACACAAAAGCCACCATAAACATACTGTATTCACTGCGTAACCATCGCAGATTTTAAGCCACATTTTTTTTTGCAAAGAAAAGTGGGGCGTGACCCAAACCCCTTGGGGCGGGAGGCACCCTGACACCCATGTAGAGACAAGGAAACCCGGACCTGGAGACTAAGTGACGGCTCCAGGTTCAGACCTCCATCTATCTTGGAGCTGGAGGCCACACTCACCTATCGCAGAGGCTGACCCTGTCTAGTGACTACTGAGCTCCACCAGGTACTGGTCACTCCCTGGGCAGGGGCATGGACCTGCCACTTTGCCCTCTCTGACGTTATAGGTGAGCCCCTGGGCTGCAGAGGCTCTCACGTCCCCTCCTGGGAAGGGGCAGAGCCCCAATGGAATCTGGGCTTCCCCACTCCTGGTCCAGAGCTCCTCACCCTCAGCAGAGGTCAGCAAACCGCAGCCCTGCGCGGGACAACTCTGGCCCATAACTTGATCTTATAAATAAAGTTTTATTGGCACACAGCCACACACACTCCATTACAGACTGCGCATGGCCGCTCTGGGGCCCCAGCAGCAAAGCCGAGTAACTGCAACCCAGGCCCCTGGACACCAGGAGCCTAAAGCATCCGACCCCTGGCAGAGGAGTTGCTGACCCCCACTCTGGCCCATTATTTCTACATTTTAAAAAAATAAATAGAATTATTGTAAGGAAGAGCATCTATGATATCTGCAGCACAGATGAGAAAAAATAGCCTCGAGGTTTGCTTTTATGCTCCACACGGACCAAAACCACCACGGGGTGTTTCCTGAAGATAACCAGAACCAACAGCCCATCTGGACTTTAAAAAGATGGAGGTTTTAAAACACTCGCTGCAGTCAGATCAACCCCTGGCAGCAACGGCTTCCTGAACGCCCCTCAGGGCCACAGCCCCTCAGCCACGGAGGCCAGAACAGTCCCTGAATGAGGGTGGCGGGGGACCGGAGATGGCAGCTCACTGCCCAGTGCCTTCCTGGGTGGTGCCTGGGACAGGGCTGGCACACAGTCCAGGTTCATGGCAGGAGGTTCGCAGAGCGCTCTCTGTCCATAAGCTGGTCTGTTAGGAGGGGGTTTATCAGGAAGGGTTCTCAGGCTAGGGAAGCTTCCAGAAAGAGGGAGTCTTCCAGTCTGGAACAGGCATGGGCCACAGCCGGGAGCGCATTGGCCTTTTGCAGGGGATGGAGACAGGCTTGCTTGGGAACAGAACGTCTGAGATGTTTTCTAACCTGTAGACAGAGGAGGGGGCTGCCTTATTGATTATTGCTATTTTTGCAAAGCTGGGGGCCAAACCCAAGGCCTGTGCATGTACTTCATGATCAACAACGAGAACACCTGAGGCTCACTGGGCAGCGGCTCTGAGATGGGTAGCAGGGGCCATCGACTCATCCCTCGTCACGAGCACCCTCTCGGACGGTGGCACAGGTGGTGCTGGTAGTTTCTCTGCAGCCATAATTCCCCGTCCCCTTCTTTCTGGCCAGCAGAACCCACCTCCCATGATGGCAGACACCTTTATTAGTTCCCAGGTCCCTTGGTAGCCGAGGCTTGTGACTGAATCTAGCCAATGACACAAAAGGAAACCTTCTTGAGGTATGCTAGGAAAGAGTTCTTCCCGCCCTCCTTCTTCCTGCCTTGAACCTTGTCCTGTGAAGGTGTGATATATGGAGCTGAAGCAGCTATTTTGTGATCAGGAGAGGAAGGCCAAGAGAACTATAGAGAAGTCAACCCCAAAGACCTTTTGAGGTACCATGTCAATCCTGGAACTACCTATTTTTTGACTTCTTGCTAAGTGAGAAGAATAAAACTCCTACTCTTTATTTAAATTTCTTTTAGTACTGCACCCTATTACTTGCAGCCCAAATACCCTGACTGGTAGGAATAAGTTCCAGGAAAGTGGGGCAACAAAAGTAAGACCAGAGATAGCAAGCAACCATTGCCATTTATTGAGCACTTACTATGTGCTAGGCATTGTGTTGTCTGTTCTACCTGTAGTATCTCATTTAATCCTTGTAATCACCCTGCAGGATGGGTATGACCATTCCACTGAGAAGAGACTGCGGTTCAGGAAGGTTAAAAAAACCTGTTCCAGGTCACATGAAACTAGCAGTGGCAGAGTCAAGATTTGAACCAGATCTGAGTCAAACACCCGCAGAATGCCTCCTCGCTTATGAAGCTATCAGTTACCTGCTTTCCTCTCCACCAGCTTTTACTAGATGTCTTGGCCACACCAAGCAGAGTGCAGGGTCCAGGGACTCAGAGATGGGAAAGGTGGCACCTGACCCCCAGGAGCTCTGACTGGAGGGTGGAGGGTCTGGAAGAGTTCCAGGGCTGTGTGTGGTGGCCGCAAAGGGTCACAGCCTGAGCAGGTGGGGGCAGGTTGGGAGGGCTTCCTGGAGGTGACCCCCAGGGAGACGAATGTGGTCAAGTGCTCAGTCCAGTGGAGAGGCAAAGAAGAAAGACCAAAGTCCTCAGACAGCTCAGGCACCGAGCAGCCTACTCCTGAGGGCCACCAAGTGTGGGGGGTGTCAGATGCAAGAACTTGTCCCTGTGTCCCCAAAAGTCTGCTCCCTGTCCTGTCACGACGTTTCTGGCCTCCTACACTCTCCCCTGGCCTGGGCCTTTAAGGCACAGTTAACCTCCTGTCTCTGCCTCCCCCTGACCTCTACCAGCTCCCACCTCCACTCCTGCCTCCCCGTGTCCCTCTGCCCTCCCACTGACATTAAATACAACACCTTCTCCAAGCTGAAATTCTGCTCCTGCGACACCCTGACTGAGCCTGTCACGGCACTTCTCATGTCTGTCTGCCACTGCCACACCGGCCAGGTGGTCGCCCCACTGTGTGTAAGCACCTTGGGGGCAGCAGCCAGGCCTTGTGCTCCCGTTTCCCACACGGAGATGGCGCTCACCAAATGCACAGGTCATGAGTGAGTAGATCTGTGCCCCATGGACTGTGACCTCCTCAGGGAAGACGGTGCTGGTTCCATTCATTCTATTTGCATATGTCTTCCAAGTAGCTGGCGCACAGTAGGTGCTTAAAAATGGCTGGGGAAGTTGCGGGTGAGTGGATAACTGAGTGAGGGGTGTGACCGCGGGTCCCTTCGAGGCGAGGACACCACTAGCTCCCCGTAAGGCCCCAGGACCTGCCAGGCTGCTGGCTGTCAATCACTGGAAGCAGCGAGGCCTTCCCTTGGTGACACTGAACTCACCTCTGCTCAGGTTCTGGGAAGAGCTGGGACAGGGAGATGCCACAGAGGGCGGCATAGGCGAAGCGGTTGGCCTCAGTCAGCTCGCGGCCCAGGGGCGGATGCGGCTCCTCTGCAGCAGGCTCTGCCACCGGGGGCTGCCTGGGGCCTGGCCTGGTCCATGCGGCCATTCCCAGCCCTGCAGGAGAAGAGCCTGTGAGAAGTGCTTCCAGGGGGGCAAGGGCCACTGGGAGGGGACACAAAAATCATAAGCCGTAAAGGAAAAGATTGATCATTAGACTTTGTCAGAGCAGAGAAGTTCTGTTCGTCACCTTCAAGAGGGTGACACTGCCCCCCCCACCGTGGGGGATCTTCAAAAGGTGCATCAATAGGGATTTGTGTCCGTGGGGTGCAAACAAGTCCTGGAAGTGATTAGGAAAAAGAAAGCCATGTGAACTCAAAAGTGGGCCTCCCGGGAGCACTGACCATCAGGGCCACGCAGAGGCTTCTGGGTGAGGGACGGTTCTCTATCTCGACCGGGTGGTGGTCATGAGTGTAATTATATTTAACAGTCACTGAGCTGCGAGGGAAGGCACAGGCTAGGCCAGACAGCCTGGGTGTGAATGCAGCACCTCCCCCTGGTAGACAGGGACCCTGGCAGCCCACCTCTCTCACTTAAATTTATTTGCCTTCAAATGGAACCAGGCACAGCTCCCTGGAGGAGCTATGAGCAGCAGATGACAACCCATGTGCGCTGGCGCTCGCAGAATGCTCGGAACACAGCCGGGCATGGGGCTCCTGCTTGATGAGTGAAGCCATGTGGGCTGGGCGCGGTGGCACACGCCTATAGTCCCAGTGGCTCGGGAGGCTGAGGCAGGAGGGTCACGAGTTCAAAGCCAGCCTCAGCAGCTTAGCGAGGCCCTAAGCAACTCAGGGAGACCCTGTCTCTAATAAAATATAAAAAAGGGCTGGGGATGTGGCTCAGTGGTTGAGTGCCCCTGAGTTCAATCCTTGGTACCAATTAAAAAAAAAAAAAAAAAGAATCAAACAAATAAATGAACTGTTCAGTTGGTGCCTAACACGAGGAATAACAACCGAAGCTGGCCGGCTGTGGTTTTGTTTCTTTCTGCAGCCACTGCACACTGAGCTCACCCCAGCCCGGGGCTGTGATGTCACACACATTGTCTCAGTGTGCTGAGGCCATCTGCCAAGGGAGGAAACAGAGGCAGAGGAGAGATAACTGGACCCAGGTCACACAGCCAGCAAACGGTGGCCTGACAGAGCCACACCAGAGCTCCTGGCCCGCCACCTCCTGTTTTGAATGGTTGTCCCATTGACAAGAGCTTTCTTGTCTAACAACCACACCCCACGCCGTTCTTGGTCCCTAACTTTGTTGCCACCCAGCTGAGCAATGGCATTTTTTGTTTTTTTGTTCTCAAAATATTACTTGTATAGAGGACTTCTTTAGACAAATAACTAATATTTCATTGGTTTTCAAAATAATTCAGAGGTCACTGAAAGCCACAAATCAACATTCCTTTTTACAGCAAGTAACCGTTTGCCAAGCACTTTCCAGTCCATTTAATTCTCACTAGTGCCAGGCAAGGGTGGGCAGGGCACAGACGAACATGATTTCCTCCTTCGAGTGAGGAACAGGCCCAGAGAGGTCAAGCCATTTTCCCAAAGTTACACAGTGAGAAATTGATGAGATCCAAATCAGCCTTCTGACTTTAGACCTCGAGTTCCTTCCTCTACGTGAGCGCAGCGATCTTTCCTTTCTAGTTTCCGGTGGAGACGCTGGAAGTCAACCTGCAAAACTGATTTCCAATGGCTTGGTCCAGGAAACTCAAGCCTGGGATAAAGTGTGGATTTCCCTGATTGGAGGATCAGCCCACAGCGTGGCGGTGGAGAAAGGGGACACCATGAGCCATGTGCTGAGGCCACAATGAGTGTGACAGCAGCATAATGTCAGCACACTCAGCAATTTGCGCTCCCCTGAGCGAAGCCCCTGCATGGACCACCTAGGGCTGTGGTAATTGCACCAATTACCCAGAGGAGCCGGGGCTGGTGTTTTCTCAGGCTGGTGTCTGGGGAGCCCCATGTCAGTTCTTGGTTCAAGAAAAAAACAGCCTTCCATTGGAGAAGCATGACCTGGCTCGCTCAGGGGACACCGGGACATGCTTAGCACACAAAAAGCTCAGCTCAGGCTGAATCCATTCCACACACACTACACTTGAGGCCTCCCGCAATGCATTCCCCCACAGTAGCCCAAACGACCTTTCTGTCATATCTATTAGTCTAGCCACGCCCCTGCTTAGAGGCTGCCAAAGTCTTCCCAGCAGGACAGGCCTAGGAAACCTGCTCCGACTGGCCTCAGCTGCCCAGGCCTCCACCTCAGCCCCCCACGCCTGTCTGGCCACGCTGGTGGTCTTTCTGCTCTTCAGTGTGCAAGCTGGTCTCCTCCCCTGAGCCTCTGGCCTGCTGTTCCCTGACCTCCACATCTGGGCTCAGCCTGAAAGCTGTCTCCCCTGACAGGCCCTTCCTGACCCCCCAGCTAAAGCATCTCTGCCCCTCTGTGCCATCGCCCTGTTCTATGTGTTCCCCCAGCTTCCCGGGCAGCCTGGGGCACCGCAGGCGTCTGGCAGAGGCCTGTTGGAGGAACGGAGGGGAGAGCACGCCATGTGCAAGGCCTGGCCTGGCCTCGGGCGGGTCAAGGATCACTAACGCTGACCAGTCCCTGCTCTCCAGGGGCTTTTCTGGTGGGAGACAGGCAACAGCACACCAACACCTAGTGGAACAGGAAATTAGTCACTCGGTCACTGTCACAGAGGTGGGAAGTGGTGGAGGTGTGGCTGCAGGATCGGGGTCTCCACAGCCCCTGTGGACAAGGGAACATGGGGCAGGAAGAGGGGGGGGGGGGGGGGGGGGGGACTGATGTGCAGCCACAGGAGGCGGTGACCACTGCCTGCAGGGGCAGGGTGGCATTCCTTCCTGCCCAGGCCTCCAGGGGGATGGGGAGGTGGCCCTGGGTGGACGGAGGGAGGAGGGGGCTCCAGGGGAGATGACAGACCAGTGGGATAAACGCTGTGACCCAGGAGGTGGAGGGGCCCAGAGGGGCGCTCAGGCCCCACATTGGCTCCTAGGAAGGGGACAGGCAGCAGAGAGCCTGACAGGGCGGGGGGAGCAGGAAGGGTGTGTTCTGGGCAGAGGGGAAGCAGCAGCAGGACCCAGAGTGGAAGAAGCTGCGCTCTTGAAGAACCAAAAAGATGTCCAGCACAACCAGGACGTGGGCAGTGGACAGGCATGGAGGAGACAGGGAAGAAGGGGGCGTGCCCAGGGTCACGCCCTGGGGGCCCAGACACCCAGGCAAAGTGTTCAGACTTATCTGTGAAGGTGACAAGTTGTGCTGGGAACACGGGGCAGGTGGGCCCTCCAGGTCCTATTTCTACAACTTCCTGAGTCGATACTAATTTAAAAATAAAAGTTAAAAAAAAATAGTAGGATGTCTGTGCAGAATTTTACACATATTTTCTGAAAGTCTAAGTAAATCACCAATAAATACTTACCGCCGTGGCGAATTAACACATTATTAATTTAATAAACATGGCCTGGCGCCAGGCATCTTGCTACATGCTGGGGACGAAGACCAGAAGGACAGAGGACTTCCCTCCGGGAGCCAGCGAGGGACAGCACAGAGCAAACCCCCAAGCTCTGAAATAAGACACTTAAACAATGGCCAGGGGTCTGAAGGAGAAAGAAACCTTAAGAGATACTTACTGAGGTTTCGAGAAGCAACCGTGGGCCTCCCCTCTCTGTGAGTCCAAAGGCAGGCTGTTCAGCTTCTGGATGGTTCTTCAGAGAAAGGTGCAAATCGCCTTGGGGGAGCAAACCAGAAAAACCAGCCTGTGGGTCCATAGGGCGCAGGGCCTGGAGGAAACCTGCAGCAGAGGGAGCCGGTTAGCCTAGAGCCTGCCCTGCCGTCACCCCTCTGGGCCTCTGTCCCTGCGGGTCCCTCCATGGGGCCTTTCTCGGCAGGAAGCAGGCAGCCCCCACCCACCGACCATTCACCAAGTGCCAGAGCTGGGCCTCAACAGCGCACCTGGCTTAGCCTGGGCGCACAGATGTCATCCACACCTGTGTTCTGGTGCCCAGCTACGTGCCTACCAGAGAGGGTGCTCAGAAAACGCTGGTTATAGGAGTGAAGGCCCAGGGTGGCTCTCAGATTTAAGCAAGCGTTAGATTTCCATGGCTGTCTCCCTGCAGGAACCCATTCCCAAGCCAAACTTGTGATGGGAAGGTTAGGGGACCGACAGATGAGGATGTGGGAACACGAAGTTAAGAGATTAATTCCATACGATGGCCCCGCTGTGCTGACCCCATGTGCGCTCTTTTCCAAGAAGCAATTGACCTGCAGCCCTGACTGGCCTAAGCGGACAGGATGTATGGCCCATTTCTCAGCAAACTATGTGCTCACTGCAGGAGAAATGCAGCCCCAAGGTCATGCTGATAGGAGGAAAACCCCGAGTTATCCTGAAGGAGACTTCTGTGACCAGTTCCTGAAACTCTGGGAGACAAGGGTGGTTCCTCCTAATCTTAAAATCTGTAGGAATGTATGGTTAAGAATCCAATTAGAGATAGGAAGGGTGGCAGAATAGAGTAGACATTATGATTGCTGTATGTATATAGGTGACTCTAGGACCAGTGTGATTCTGCAATCTGTACAATCAGAAAAATGAGAACTTATACCCCAATTGTTTCAAATGTATGAATTGCCAAGATCATTGTAATGTCATGTGTAGCTAATTAAAAAAAAAAAAAAAAGAATCCGATTAGAGGCTGGGCACAGTGGCATAGGCCTGTGATCCCAGCGGCTCAGGAGGCGGAGGCAGGAGGATCATAAGTTCAAAGCCAGCCTCAGCAATTTAGAGAGGCTGGCTAATCAACTCAGTGACACCCTGTCTCTAATTTAAAAACAGGCTGGGGATGTGGCTTAGTGGTCCAGTGCCCCTGAGTTCAATCCCCCCAGTACCCCAAAAAAAGAAAAAGAAAGAATCCAGTTAGAAACAGTCAGCATGGGCCAAGGTGACCTACAGTTGCCATGATAGTGGGGACTTGAAAGCCTGATGTCACCCTGCTGTCCGTCAAAAGTCAGAAGGCGGACCTGGACAGGACTCTCTGGAAACTTCTCTGGGATTCCCAATAAAAGTGGAGTGAGTGCAGGAGACGCATGTTGTCCCTCTCCTTTACGAGAGGAGCCACTCTGTCTTGTCCCCACCCAGGCACTGTGAGTGTCCCCTTTCCCCTGTCCCTTTATAAACTCATTCCCGCTAATCTGAGGGACATGTCTGCAATCATTCTGACTTGATTGCAAGAATCAGGGTTTGAAGAAGGGGTCTTCGCGGTGCCTCAGTGTCTTGGAAGGTTCCATCTCCGTGACAGGAAGGGACATGCAACAAGGGCCAAGAGTCTGGAATTACCAAGAGTGGCTCCAGGGCCCCAAACCAGGGTACCTCAAAATGACTACAGCATCCTCCCAAATCATCTCTGAAAGGTGATATCAGGGATATTTCTGTGTTTCTCACATTTTCTGCCATAAATACATATTGCTTCTGAACTCTCTAGAAAGTTATCTGGAATGTCTTTATCTGCAGGGAGGGAGCTAGGGGGACATGTTCCAGGATGCTGGCAGAGGAGGGAGGGAGGCTGGATTCTGGATTATTATATTTTTTTCTGTATGTGTTTTTTATGTTTTGTGAATTTTCAAAAATTGAGTAATTATCAATTTTAAGATCAGAAAAAAAAATTTTAAGTGACAATATTGTGTGCTGGACTGTCCCACAGTGGCTGGCGAGAATCAGCCCTGTGCCTCTCTTCCCAGCTGTGCTGGGTGGCGGTGGCAGTCTGAAATCGGCACAGTGGGTGCACACCACAGGACTGGCGAATGCTGCACGCCAGGGTTTGCTTTTATCCTAGAGAGGTGGCTTTCCAGCATGCCAGTATAATTCCTGTTTTACAGAGCAAAGAGGCCAGAGGGTGATACTTCCAAATGTTCACGATCATTGGCTCTTGGTGGCAGGGGCCGAGGGACTAGAGGTGATTGGTTTTTGTTTAATTTTTTCTGTATTTTTTTGCATTTTCTGTCAAGCATTTAGTGGTGGCTTTTACAATGGAAAAAGATAATGAATTAAAAATAACCTTGCTTTTCCAAACCCTGAGGGGAGTGTTTTAGAAGGTCCTGGCCCATGTGGCCAGCCAAGCCAGGCCACTGAGGTTATGACACATGACCTGTTGTTAGTAACAAGAGTGGCCAGGTTGGAGGGAAAGATGGAGGCAGCTCTCAGCCGTCCATCATGGTGGATAGGGACAAGGGCACCAGCTCTGTGGACTGTCTGGGTGGATGGGCTGAGCTGTGGGGGAGGGATGTGTCACCTGCACCATGTGTGCTGGTCCCCGGGGGCCTCCACCCCTTGATCCGATCCAGGGGCCAGCCCAAAGTTAAGATGGCATTCTTAAATGGGTCTGACAGGCCACACTGATTTGAGACTCTACTGGGTTCCTGTGGCTAGAAAAAGATCCCGCGGGTCTGGCCAGCAGGACCTCTGCAAGTCCAATGTGCACAGGCTGGTCTAGCAGCACCCAGGGGAGGAAGTCACTGATGGAAGGCGTGGACCCTCCCAGGGGTCTTGTCCCCACCCGGGCACTGTGAGGCCACCCAGGAACTCCACGAGGCTCACACTGGACCGGGGAGAGCACTGACTACAGGGAAACAATAGATCCAGAATGAGAACGGCCGTGCCCATGGCTGGACAGTACAGCCCAGACTGGGGTGGACGAGGAATGTTCTGGAACAGAACCGCCTCATTCTGTAGCTCTACAGTTACGACCTTTGTTTAGTGAGTCACATCCACCACCAAAGAAATCGCTGACCAAATCTTTTGTCAGTCCCGGGGGTGACATTCCACAACCCCTGACCTCACTCCAAAACTCCCGTGGAGGAACTCGGGGACAGATGCCGCGCTGTGGGCAAGCAGCGGGATCTCTTTGCAGCAGATGAAAAATACTCAACTCAGCGTGGAGGAGGCAACCAAATAAAGTCAATATTGTCCTTGAAAAATCGCTGAAATTATGCTTAAGTCTGCCTGACCTAGGTCTTCAGAGGATCGCACGCAAGCATGAACTCGTTTTTCCAGCTGTGGCCTCCTCCACACCCCCCAGCAGTTGGTGCAGATCAAGGTCAAATGTGAATGGTCTGTGTGTGGCGAGGTAATGTTCCTCCTTCTCTCCTATTTCTGGTCACAGTTGAATTTTAACACAATTCTGCAGTGCGGTCAAATAACTAATAGAGAGACGGCTCCCGTGTCTTGGGCAGGTAGAAGATCAGTTGTTTCGAGGTAAGGATAAGGAAAAGCATTTAGCTAAAGAAATCTCAGCTGAAAATTGAAAAGAAAAATAACAAAACAAAAAGTCAGTTGTTTGAAAAAAAATTAAAATTGATAAACCCTTAGCCATTGATAAACCCTTAACCTTCCTCTGCTAACAAAGAGGAGCAAGGAAACTCAAATTACTAACATCCATGATGAAAAAGGAACTATCACAACAGGCACTACAGAAATACAGAACATAATTAGAAATTATTTTGAAAATTTGTACTCCAATAAAATAAAAAATATCGAAAGCATCGACAAATTTCTACAGTCATATGATTTGCCCAAATGGAATCAGGATGATATACACAAGTTAAACAGACCAATATCAAGCAACGAAATAGAAGACGCCATCAGAAGCCTACCAACCAAGAAAAGCCCAGGACCAGATGGATACACAGCTGAGTTCTGCAAGACCTTCAAAGAAGAACCAATACCAATACTCCTCAAATTATTCCATGAAATAGAAAAAGAGGGAGCACTTCCAAACTCATTCTATGAAGCCAATGTTACCGTGATTCCAAAATCAGACAAAGACACATCAAAGAAAGAAAACTTCGGACCAATATCTCTAATGAAGGTAGATGCAAAAATTTTCAATAAAATTCTGGCAAATCAAATACAAAAACATTAAAAACCTAGTGTGTCACGGTCAAGTGAGTTTTATCCCAGGGATGCAAGATTGGTTCAACAAACGGAAATCAATAAATGTAATTCATCACATCAATAGACTTAAAAATAAGAATCATATGATCACCTCAATAGATGCAGAAAGAGCATTTGACAAAATACAGCACCCCTTTATGTTCAAAACACTAGAAAAACTAGGGATATCTCAATATTGTGACAGCTATCTATGCTAAGCTCAAGGCCAACATCATTCTAAATGGGGAAAAATTGGAAGCATTCCTTCTAAAAACTGGAACAAGACAGGGATGCCCTCTTTCACCACTGCTATTTAACATAGTTCTTGAAACTCTAGCCAGAGCCATTGGACAGACAAAAGAAGTTAAAGGGATATGGATAGGCAAAGAAGAACCCAAACCATCACTATTTGCTGACAACATGATCCTATACATAGAGGATACAAAAAATCTCCACCAGAAAACTTGTAGAACTAGTAAACGAATTCAGCAAAGTAGCAGGATATACAATCAACATCCTATTTACAATAGCCTCAAAAAAAAAAAAAAACCACTTGGGAATCAACTTTAATGAAAGAGGTGAAAGACCTCTACAATGAAAACCTCAGAATGCTAGAGAAAGAAATTAAAGAAAATCTTAGAAGATGGAAAGATCTCCCTTGTTCTTACATAGGCAGAATTAATATTGTCAAAATGATCATACTAACAAAAGCACTACACAGATTTAATGCAATTCCAGTCAAAATCCCAATGGCATTCCCCACAGAAACAGAAAAAGCAGCCATGAAATTCATCTGGAAAAATAAGAGACCCAGAATAGTCAAAGCAATCCTTAGCAAGAAGAGCGAATCAGGTGGCATCACTATACCA